CAATGTTGCAGTGAACCCTAGACGCGCTCTGGAACCAACGGTCAGGAACGGTGTGATCAACGTCAGGATGAGCTATGACATGCACCATAAAAACTCTAGGTTCGTACTCATCCCCTCGCTCAGATGAGGAATCATCCTCAGTGGTTTCCGTCGGATTGGAGGTTGATTCTGGAGATGCACTCCCGTTTACGTAGGTTGTTTCGTTTTGCGGCGACTTGACCCTTGTCTCCACTCTCGATGACAGGGCTTGAATGGCACTGTTGACGGACTTCTTTCCTTCGTCGGTATCAGAAGTAAGGCTGTTCCACCCCGATGTCGGGCATGACACTGTTCGAGCGAGGTCTGACAAGATCAGTTGGTGCAAATTGAATTCGAGGCTAACAGTGAGAGAAGTTCAGCTCTCTGCGAGGCTCGCGGTCCGTAAACGCGTTACCTGTCCATTTCAAGAAAGAGAAACACAGTCAGGGCTCGGCTTCAAAGGAGGGTTCTCTCTTGAGTAGCTGAGCGGAAGAAGCTGTTGGAGTGGTTGTCAGCCGATCCCACGCTCTCTCCGGAGTCCGAAGTCGCCGCGTGAAAGCCCCGGCTGAAGTCCGAACCACATATTTTGTCGGTATAACTCTGTAAAAAGAACGCTTCTAACACCCAAGTCCCTTATAGCTCAGTGGTAGAGCGCGTCACTAGTACACGCCTTTCAGGTGGTGGCAATGACGAGGTCCATAGTTCAAGTCTGTGTGAGGGAACTTGTACGAGCGAGTCAGGTGCCCTGTCCGCTTACCTTTTGCTCCCTGCCCGTTCATTTCATCGAGCACTACTTCTCATGTTTATATATCCCTCAAGTCAACGTTAGACTTGTTCTGATATTGCTGTTTCCGTATGAGTGGCTTTGCAATGGCTTCGTAGACCATGGACGCAGAGCACTGCCGGTCTCGGATACGTAAAAGCTGACATGTCGATGTGGTATCTTGAGAGTGGGCCTCAATAACGCGGTCTTATTGCTCCTCCTGTTGGGATTAATTGAAAGAGGTTCACATCAGCTATTTCCAGATAGAGGATGCGGCTCTCTTAGAACGCGAAAACGGACCTAGACGGACTTAAGAGCGCTAAATGAAACGCGTCGAACTTCGTTTCTGCTAATTCCATTTTTGCGCACCACTTCTCTGTTAACCATGTCTCGCCGCCGGGTTGGCGCGAACGGCATTACTGGACCAAGCTCAGCGCTCACAGCTTTCCTTAGGGTGAGTCTATTTCTCTTTTTGCGAGTTATAAAACATTCGAAGCAAACTCCTACTATTTTATTCAGGACCAAGGCATTAGTACCCGCCCGACCAACACATGGCGTCGCAGAGTTGAGACTGAGGAAGACAACGCGGAAGCTGAGCCTAGCAATGCAGAGGCAGCTCCCAGCAGTGTAGAAGCTGGACCTTCCAGGAGCAACGCATCTCCTGCTCGCGCGGTGCGTTCTTGCCAGACAGCCCGCTCACCACATTGTCCTTAAAATCACCCCCTCCTCCTTGTTGCAGAACCAAGACGGCTACAACTCCGACAACCTAGACGATGATGAAGATTCAGGCGCGAGTAAGAAAAAGAAGAAACCGACAAAGGCCCAGCTTGAAAAGGAGAAGGCAAAGGCCAAAGCCGCGGCGGCTAAAAAGCGCAAACGCGCAGAAGACGACAGCGACTACGATGATGAGGAAGATTCTTACAACAAACCTTCCGCGGCAAACGGAGCTGCATCAGGACCTGCTCCTGACATTGGCTCGTTTGAGAATTGTGCAGAGTGTGGCAAGAGATTCACCGTGGTATGTATCGGGTTGATGGTACCGGCGGCCTGCCATTGACGGAATCGAACGCCATGGGACAGACAAAATATACAATACCAAGGCATCCTCCGCCAGGATACCTCTGCCATATTTGCGCAAAGGCGAGCGGGAAAGATCCTTTCAAAAAGCCTCCAGCAGCGAAGAAGCGGAAGGCTGTGGAAAGGCGGCAGGTGGTGAATTTCGAAGATACGGAAAGCGTCAAAACCTTGGCCAACATCTGCATCGAGGTGAGTTTTCAGTTTCTCTAAGACGGCCTTCGACTCGGATGTCACTGAACTCGTCATATAGATCATTAGTAAACACATTGACGATGTAGATGCGCTAGGCGCGATCGGCCAGGTCAATCTGATGAATATTGCCAAGATCATTTGCAAGAATCGGCGACTGTGCGCGGAATGATTGTTTTGTCCGGGCTGTCTCCTAACGACGCTTCTGCTCTCAGGACCGAAGAGAATGTCAAGCTTTTCTATGACGTCGGCAATACCGAGGTCTTTCTAACCGATGCCACGGGTAAGTACCCTGTTGACTGTGTCTTGGAACTTGGCACTCAAATCTCGACTATCATAAAGCGCTGCAGCCGCAAGCCTTGATGGCTCTCGCGTCGTTCAATCCCAACGTCGAAAACCTCCGACTAGACCTATGTGGCCGTATGTCAACCCCCGTCATTGAACACTACGGCAACCATCTGTCCAACCTCACTCGCATCGAGCTGCTCGGTCCCTTTTTGGTCAAACCCGAAGGCTGGAAGTCCTTCTTCGCTGCCGTGGATCAACGTTTAGAGGGCTTCCTTATAACGCAGTCGCCGCGGTTCGACTTGTCCTGCCTGGAAGCGATGGCTGAGCACACGGCCGACACGCTTACAGAATTGCGTCTCGCAGAGGTTGGGCAGCTCAACGACGAATGGTTACCTCACTTCGAGGCCTTCAAAAATCTCACATCGCTCGATTTATCATTCCCCTCCGAGTCCCTAACGGATGAGCCGGTGATTAAGCTCCTGTCTGACCTTGGACAGAAGCTGACACTGCTCGATCTGAGCGGACACATTGCCCTCACGGACAAGGTTCTCACAGAAGGCATTGCCCCCCATACAGGATCTTTGAATACGTTGATCATGCCGTCCCTCGAGTTGCTCACCGATGAAGGTGTTGCAGCGTTCTTCAGCGCATTCAAACAGAACCGCCCAATGCGCCACATCGACTTCAGTCGAAACCATGCACTCTCCGGTGCCGCACTTTCCGCGTTGCTCACTCACTCCGGGGCGGTTTTGGAGGACCTCAATATCAATAGTTGGAAGGAGACGCCTAACGAGATATTGATGGGGATGGCGCAGTACCTTCCTCAGCTAGTCAACCTAGACTTGGGTTGGTGCAGGGAGGTCGATGACTATGCCATCAAGAGTATCCTGGATGGCTGTCCCGTGCTGAAGTCGGTCAAATGCCACGGGTGCAACCGAGTAACAATCAACTGTCCGCGAAAGGTGAGCAAGTTGTTGGGTGTCGAAAGGCTTCGCTGACGGTCGATTTGGCCTGTAGCGTGGCGTAGCAATATTTGGGAACGAAGCTCACGCTATTATGTAGATTATTGTACATACTTGGTTCACTCACCGCGTAACATCGTGCACGTGTGATACAGAGGACCTGTTATTTCCAGCATTTTCCAGAGTGCTTGGTCTCGCGCGTCGCTCGCGTTTGGCGCCCATTTACCTTTCAATCTCGACTACCACCAACAATGGCTACTTGCTCTCACTTGGATCGCCTATCATCGCTGCAAACACCTAAACTTTCTCATTCAGTACACAGAGAGGAATGCACACAATGCTTTGATAATCAGGTATGGCCAGCCAGTTGTGGTTGACGTCGGTGCACCCCGCAGGCTCATCGCGCTTGCTTTGAACGTAGGACCTGCCCTCCGGCGTCGACGTCTGCCTAACTTGCTTCAATGGCGGCTGTACTAGTGATGATCGACACCACGCACGGACACACTACGAGAGATCGGATCATCCTTTTGTCTTGAACGTGAAGCGCAAGGCAAAGCCTCGACCCCAAAGGGTTCGCTGACTCGGTGTACACCTCACTGCACATCAAGTCCTGACGCGTCCATTTATCACGCAGGACGATAATGAACCCCCTATGAAGAAGTTGGCCATCCTGGAGGAACGCGAAGAAGACAAATACACGCATGAAACCACCCTAAAGTGCTGGGCTTGTGGTGGGGTTGAACTTCCCGACCTGGCAAACGAGCCCAAAGTATGTCTGCTGGCCCGTATATGTGCATCTTGTCATTACTAACACTTCTCGGCCAGGTTCGTGCTTTGGTGGATGGCATTATGCAGTCTATGTCCTCCGGACGGCAGTCCGAAGTCAAGGCTTGGGAGGAAGAAACCACCGCATGCGAGCACACTCTCATGCTTGAGCAAGTAACATCGCATCAGACTCCTGCTTCAGGTTAGATGGTCCGATCTAGTTTTCGATTCGGAGCGACCCAACCTTTCTGATTTCCCCAGGCTTGGCGCAATGCGGAAAATGCGACCTGAAGGAAAATCTCTGGCTCTGCCTCACCTGCGGAAACCTTGGATGCGGTAGGGCTCAATTCGGTGGTATCGGTGGCAATGGTCACGGTCTAGCTCATTTCAACGAGACCCAGCACCCAGTGAGCGTCAAGCTTGGAACAATAACCGCTGAAGGAACAGCAGGTAGGTTTGACCACCCCCACGTAAACGCGACATCATTAACTGAGAAATGGTGCGCCAACTAGATATATATTGCTATCAATGCAATGATTCCAAGGTTGACCCAGGCCTGGCGACCCATCTTGCCAACTTCGGCATCAATGTGTTGACGCAGACAAAGACGGAAAAGAGCATGGCAGAACTGGTTGGTAGTAATTTCCCCCACCTGTCGACCTATTCCTGACTGCTTCCTGATAGCAAATCGAACACAACCTGAACTATGACTTCAGCATGACGGGTGACGACGGAAAGTCTTTGGAGCCAGTCTTTGGACCCGGTCTGACGGGTCTTGCAAACTTGGGTAACAGGTAGCGCTCTTATCTCCCCCTTCTCTGTGGGTCGGGCTGACGACGTGTACCATCTTAGCTGCTATATGGCATCGGTTATACAGTCGCTATTCTCCCTTCCCGAGTTCCAGGCACGCTTCGGTCCTACCTCTCTCAACCACGCTGCCATCTGCCCTGAGCCACTCCCAGCTAGTTGCTTGGAGTGTCAGATGGGCAAGCTAGCCGATGGTCTACTTTCCGGTCGATATAGCCATCCTCGTAAAGTCCCCGATCCGAACACTTTTGCAAATTCCCCATCTCCCGATGCTCCGGACCACACGGACCCACAATTCCAGGAAGGGCTGAAGCCGACGACGTTCAAAGCCCTAATTGGGAAGGGACACGAAGAATTCGCCACTATGCGGCAACAAGACTCTGAGGAGTTCTTGGCGCATCTCTTGAAGTCTCTGCGACAGGACGCGAAAAGGAAGAATGAAGCTGAGGAGGAACAACCGACGCACATCTTCAAGTTCGGTCTGGAGCAACGCTTACAATGTATGAACTGCAACAAGGTCCGCTATCGCGTCGACTCTCAGGACTCCATCAGCATCCCTGTTCCAGCCAAAGAGAAGCCACCAGTGGTCGTCGAAGGCGGAGATCCACCAAAAGTCGAATACGAGCCTGTAGAGCTTCTTCAATGCCTTGAAGCAGCGCTTGGAACAGAGGTACTCGAATACGCATGTCCATCATGTGGGACAAATGTCATGCTGGAGAAGTACGTTTCCTACGCCTGAGCAGCGCCCCACCACAGCCCGATTAACATGGCCTCTCCCTCAGGCAATCTCGCTTCTCCACCTTCCCAGACGTCCTAGTCATTCACGCAAAGAAGTTCCAGCTGGTCAACTGGGTGCCGGTCAAGCTAGGTA